CCCCCCCAATACTAGTGTAAGGACTTACCTTCAATTATGCCTCTTGATCCGATCATCCTCTTCCTTCCTGCAGTTTTCAGGAGTCCCTCCAGCGTTGGTGCCGGTCTCTGATCCAGCACTGACTGCTTTGTCGTCTGTGTCCCACGGAGGCTGCCTGCATTGACTTACCCTGTGTCTCTCCTCATCTCCCGGCCGAAGATCTGTACTGCGCATGCGCCCGCCCCATCATTCTTTGCGGTCGCCCGAGATTTTTCAGATCTTCGGACGGGAGTGCGAGCTAAGAATTTGAGAGATAGATTGGTAAAAACAGTTATAGATCCCCAAAGAAACCTTTAACATTTTTAGACATGAAAGTTTTGTTTTGCTTGCGACAAATGTTATGCCTGCATGCATGTCAAATATAATGTTGGAAGGAGGAAGAAGTTTAACCTTAATGCATACCGGCAGCCATTTAATATTAATGATTTTATTTCATGTAATAAAGTGGGGGTAGTGTACGCATTACAATGTCCATGCTGCTTGCTATATGTAGGACGTACTACTATAAAGCTAAGAGAGAGAATGAAAGAGCATGTCTAGAACATAAAAAGAGGTTTCAAAGACCATTTTGTGTCAAAGCATTTCTCCGCCTGCCAAAATAAGAACCCAGAGGGTTTACAGTTCTGGGGAATTGAAAACGTTAGAAGACATTGGAGAGGAGGGAACTGGAGATGGGAACTGTCGAAGAGGGAATCTGAGTGGATCTACAGTATAGGGCAGACACTATGATTCCTAAGGGTTAAATGTAGAATTTGATCTTAACGGTTTTATCTCAGATGCTTAAAAATATTTTTATCTGGTCTTGCGATATAAGTTAATTCATTACTAGAAAGACTCCCTGGGAATATATGTTTTTCTATTGGGTTACTCGATTTGTAGCTTCCTAGATTAGTATATGTTATTGTTTATCGGATTGGATTCGTTTTAATCACACTTTTTCATTATATTTAATGTATATTTAATGCCTATTTATATTCATATTTTGAACTATTAGTCAAGTTTACGGGAGACCTCCGTGGCTGTATAATTATGTTTTAGGGATAGATGTAATTTTTCTGAAGCACCTCCCAATATTAGATAAAGATGATCTACTGTTTTCAAACTTTCCATTATAGTAAAGTGTGCATCATGTTTTTATAAAGTTTTTATTTTGAACACTAGGGTGCGCTGTGAGATACTAGTGTTGCTTACATTGTCACCATGACAACGCATAGCTATTTTACCTTGAAATCAGCTACCTCTGGCATGACCCTGATGAAGTCACATGGTTCATGATGTAACGCGTGTAGGGCGGGACTTAAAGAGGAATCGGAGATATGCTGAAGAGCTCGATGTACGTGTCGTTATCTGCTAACAGCTAAAACTGAGCTCAAAAGGGGATATAAAGTGGCTGTGGATTGCCACAAGGCGCGTTTAGAACTTTTGTAAGAGAGGTCTAAGGATAAGGTGAGCAGCCTGCTTGGGCGCAAAGGTTCACGTGTGGAGTGGTGGATTGAAGAAGTTCACAAATATAGACACAACAGTGGTGAAATCCTGTTACATCATTGTTGCAAAGGACTTTAATATTATTTAAGAGAGACACTAAGACTGGGGAGTATATAAGAACTCAGATTAGACGATCACGGTGGTGGTACACTTTGGAATGTGGAAAGTGTAATATACACACAGATATTGTTTAGACTCATTCTTCAATTGTTTGTTCACTATAGTTTGGTTTATAGCGTGGCACTTTTAAATTGTGTATTACGTTTGTTTATATATTAGTGCACGCAGCAGTTGAGTTATTATTGGCTTGAGATATATTTCACTTTTTTTATTTAGAGCACTGTGGGATCTACCTCTCTTCTTATATATTAGAATCGCCCTGCTATAGGATCCGCCTTATATCCTATAAATTGAGGACAGTTTAAGCTTTAAAGCCTTTATACTGCAGAGTAAAGTTTAAGCCTTTATACTGCAGAGTATAATACATTGAAACCATATGGAGACAGACCCAAACAGACTGTGTGTAAATGACACCAGCCAGGTAAACTTACACAGCGACCAGCCGCAGGTGCACATTCTACCTCCTTCTCCCCTCCAGGTATACAAACACATAAGCCACACTTTTTTGCTAAACTACAACAAGTGTTATTTGTAGCAGATAGGTCAGACAGGCTCTCTCTCTCTCTTTAGATGTAACTGCTTGGAGAGAATGTCTGCCTGACCCACTTTGGAACCCATAAAGCTTGTTGCAGTTCAGCAAAAAGCACAGTGGAGCGTAGCTTATGTGTTTGTTTACCTTTATGGGCTGCACAGGTTTCATCATCGCTACTTTAACATGTATGTATAGCCAATTTATTCTTCAGTTTTGGATAGTGCAGAAAAGGATTCAAACCCGTCATTTATTTTTTTGCTATTTGTGTCCCATTGGGGAGACTTTGCTTCCTATTGCAGAGATGAAACAGTAAACGATAAGAAACCTTCACAAAGTTAGTTGCCAAACTAGGGGTCCCCAATTGGAAGATTTCCCCTTACCTCCTGCTCTGGTGAAAAGTCTAAAATTATCCCATTATTTGCTGTGTCTGTTACTGGGACAATAAAGGAAGGTGAATCTACCTAGTAGAGATACAGGCAGAGGTAACATTTTGGCAGCGGTACTAATCCTTTCCTAATCTACCCAAAGATAAACAATATACAGTATCTCTATACATATGCTTTAAGTGAAATTATGCTTTATTGCATTGTTCATTTTTTAAATTACTTTATAAATAAATCTCCTATAGGTGAAAACAGTAGATGTAGGAATTGAAGCATCACACCGATTAAATCAGTCCAGATACAACTTTATTTGAAATTATAATTCAAATAATTTTAATGGTTGTGGTACTTCAATTTCTACGGTGTTCACTGTCAAGCCAAGGATACTGTGGAGACCCTCAGGACATTGATAGCTGCCTATCTATTAGCCAGAATACAAATATTCACATCACATAATCACTATTGGATGATAAAAACATGATAAAAACTGTGTGATGATAAAAACATGATAAAATCATCACACAGGTCCAGCGCTCACTTTCCACTTCCAATTTTATTTATTTTTTAAACCTTACCAGAGTGACTTCTCTACTATCTTGGTCCTGAACACTTCCTCTTGGTCTAGGTTCACAGTACAATAACAATCTCGCATTTTGTTTGGTCCTGGATATGACGGGAGATTTTTTGCTTCACCTACGGAAAGAAGAACAAAGAACGTTTTATTATGGGCTGATAACAAAAATAAGAGCATTCAAATAATGTTCCCTACTAAAGCATTGACGAAAGTATAACTAAAGGCAAAACCGTTTTTTAGATTTGGATAAAGTGGTGAGGGGACAGAACCACCTTAAAGTATTTATTGCGGTCTATGTCCTGATAAACCAAGGTCACCAGGAATGAAAAAGAGAGTAAATGCACCAGAACAGGAATAAAGGGGAAATCTTCAAATGTATACACTTGTTCCTGTGACAACTGTCTAAAAGAGGATTTCCCTCTTATTGGAAATATATCCTCCCACTTCCTGTTGAGTCTACAGTACAGGAAGTGAAGTGAAATCTTACTAATGAGAAACGGATGGCAAAAAAACCACCAAAAAACTGACATTGGTTTTAACCCTTCCCTTCTCGTTTTGCTTTGAGATATACTTTAATACAGATTTGGGTGTGCTATATACAATATATATCTTGAGAAAGACAAACAGTGCCTTGTCAAAACATCAACCAATAAATGTATCTATGTTGCTTCATTACAAGACCTTTGAGTGGCTCATCATCAACTTCACAATTTAGGTATATCTACTTGCTTTGAGTGCATCCGGGCAGTTTTTTTTGTGGTGCCCACCACTAGGGCTCTCTCTCTCTCTAAATACATATATATATATATATATACACACACACACACACTGCACTGGTCCGAGCAGTGGCTTTTCGAACTAACACAACTACATAGTACCGCCATATACAGCATATACACAGTACAGTTTCATCCCTTCAAATCGGTACCTTGCCCAGTGGTGCAATCTAACCTCTCCCTACCACAGAAGTGTATGCATTCATTCATATTTTATTTCTATTTGGTGTGGAATACATGAATGGAAACCGAACAACCTGGAGAAAAAATGCACACAATTAAAATGCAAGCTCTATGCAAATAACATAGGATTTGCACCCAGACACCAGCAACACCAGCAAGCCAATGTATGACAAAATAATGCAATTAGAGGAAAAAAATCTCTGATGGAGCACAATATTGTGGGTACAGTGTTTGCCAGAATGACATAGGAAGTCAGGAAAACATACAGAGTTCAAGGGTGCATCATTGGAGAGATCACCAGCAGGAGGAAGAAGGTTCTGATTCCCATGTATAGATTGTTAGTTAGACCTCATATAGAATATTGTTCTAGTTCTGGTAACCTAACTTACAAAAATATATTGATAAGGCAGGACGAGTCCAGAGGCAGGCAATAAAAATGGTGAAACGTCAAGATTTAACTCATGATGCCACTATAAAGCCAATAAAGTTCTGTATTGCTGTAATAGGAAAATCATCATTGTTCATGTATTCAGCTTACATATACCTGGTTTAATGACCGTGGGATTACTGTGCTTGATTGGCCAGCAAACTCGCCGGACCTGAACCCCATAGAGAATCTATGGGGCATTGCCAAGAGAAAGGTGAGAGACATGAGACCGAACAATGCAGAAGAGCTGAAGGCCGCTATTGAAGCATCCTGGTCCAGTGGCGGATCCAGGGGGTGCCACAGGCTGATAGCTTCCATGCCACGCCGCATTGAGGCAGTAATTGCTGCAAAAGGGGCCCAAACCAAGTACTGAGTACATATGCATGCTTATACTTTTCAGAGGTCCGATATTGTTCTATGTACAATCCTTGTTTTATTGATTGCATGTAATATTCTAATTTTCTGAGATTGTGGATTTGGGGTTTTCATGAGCTGTAAGCCATAATCATCACAATTATGACAAATCACGGCTTGAACTATCTTGCTTTGCATGTAATGAGTCTATCTCATATATTAGTTTCACCTTTTAAGTTGCATTAGTGAAATAAATGAACTTTTGCACGATATTCTAATTATTCGAGTTTCACCTGTATATATGAAATATATGTAATTCCAGATTCCTAGTAAACTCCTCTGTAGGCATCTTCAAGCCTCAACAGGAGAAGCTGGTTCACATTTCTTCTACATTTTCCATCACAAGAAAAGGAAAGCACACACTCATATATACAGTATTTAAAAATAGTCAGCCAGATATGTAACTTGAACCCAGCTGTCTATCACAGTCTATGGGAAAATAATATCCATTCAGTCCCCTCTGTGTGAAGCACAGTGCATGCCGATACATTCTAGGAAAAGATCAAGACGGCTCAAGCTTCAAATCCTCATATCATTAGGAAATTACATGTTGATCCCAGTAGGGTGGCCACTACTAAATGTGGATGTGGACCTGCTGCCAACTTGGAGACAGCAGCTCTAGTCAGCTGTGCCACCTGAGCACAGCATTTTACTCACTGCCAGCAGCGATTAGACTGATGAAAGGAATTGATATCCCTAGACACAGTCTGGCAAAAAATCAGACACTGCACTGCACATAAAGCTTCTTCTACCGGCAGTTTTGTACAATCATATAACATAAAGGTAATGTTGCATTGGACTGACCACCAGTTGAATGCATATTGTAGTCATATACTGAATAAAACATTATAGGTTGGTCTTATTGTCTATGGCAGGGGTGTTTCTAGGTTCTTAAAAGACCCGGGACACCCCTGGCAAGCTAGACTAAAATGTTAAAGGGTTTGTACTATTTTAAGTCATATGGAAGGAGAATACAACTTCACCCACTTTTTAGCATGGTATACTACTTTGGAGGAGGCCTGTGATGCTGAAAGAGGAAGAGAACTGGGACCAATGTAGGCTCTTGAAGTACCCTGGAACTAAGTGGACTTCAGGAGCATGGTCGGTGTCTATCCTGCCTGAGGATCTGCATCCATCCTGCCTGGCTGTTATATCAGTTGCTGTCTGCTGTCTCCCAAGTGGTTCTACACTGATATTCCTACAAGGTCTGGTGAGTCTGGTGCTCCTGTTGGTTTCCCCCTGGATACCTAGAACCCCTATTACCTCTCTCCCCAGTGAAGATGTTCAATAAATCGTTTACTTAGCATTATACTACTGGAGTGGACATCAGTTTATGGGCACCAGAAGAAGGGCGGTTAGTGCTAATGGGTGGGCAGCTGAAGAACATACCCTAGACAGACTAGAAATGAACCGGGCAAACAGTGGATCCTTCGGGGGTGAGCGCTACAGTTTTATAATCTAAAAACAGAATTTCCTCTAAAGCTTATTTAGAGAATGATAAGAAAGGTATAACTTTCTTTTAAGAGGGGGGCTCCATGACCTTTTTGTGATCATGATATCAATTTACAGCAAGATAACCATAACAACCAATGCTAAATTGAATTGGTCTGACTGCACCAAGCTGCTGAGCTTTGGAAAAGCATTAGTCCCTGTTCACATCTGTGCAATTTTTGTCGCCTGTCGTGCAACATTGCACGACAAGAAGAATCCCATATTTTCCTATGGTCCCCGTTTCCATCTATGCAATTTTTCTTAAGTTTATTTTTTTAAATGTTGCATGTCCGTGGCCTCAGTGTTATTTTGACCTCAAATACTGCAATAGAATTGTATATCAAAAATGCATGTACATTTGTTAATGCCTTTTTTTTGCCATAACAACAGGGTTCTTCCCCTGCAACTTCTACTCTACACAGACTGATGAGAAGAAGGAGAGACAAGGCCGCAGAAAACTGGATGTTGAAACCTTTATCCTTTTGGTCAGAGTCTCTCTCTTCTCTATTTGTGATTACACTATGGACCCAGCATCTTTGCTTCCTCTTCTCTGCCTCTTCTTCCATCAACATTGAGGCAATCGCTACAGCTGCTGCCATGAACATTGGCATTGCGGCCATGACACAAGATTGCAGCACAACTACATTGGTACACAACAGACAGAGGAAGCTCAAAGGAAGACATTGCCTAATGATGCCACAGGAGATATTGCTTCTCATTGGCCAAAACATAAAATGTATGAAGCATTAAAAAGGCACTTAAAACCCCAAAACCACACTAAAATTGCACATGCACAAGTGTCTGAAGTAGCAAAACCATGAATAGCAACACAACTTACATCCAAACAAATTATATCTTTCCCCTGGTAAATAAAATTTATTTGTATAAAAGTAGCAATAGCTAATAACACAATGGATTTAAAATTTTCTGCTGTCTCATATAATTTTTCTTGCTCCAAACCAAAAATGACTGTGCAAATCAATCAGCCTACCTTTGCCTTCGTGACATCTCTAGTAAAATTAGTAATATGAAGACCTTAGGCCCCTTTCACATGGGTGGTACAATCAGGTCCGCTTGTCAGTTTTTCACATGGACCCAATTGGATACCCAATGTTAGCCTATGGGCAGCCATGTGTAAATGGGCGTGTATGCGTCCGTTTACACCCGGTTACCCCCGAATCCGGTCAGGTCCGTAATAACAAACGATTCAGAGATCCGTTTTGCCGGACAAGACTTGGGGTAATCTGCTGTAAATTGAAACATGTCTCTTTACATCCGATTCCCCGTAGACTGACATGGGTTGCGGCAGTTTCAGTTCTTTCCTGTATCGCAAGCTGGAGGAAAAAACTCTACGAACACGGATGTAACAGCAGTGACATCCGCTCTGTACTGCTCTGATCAGGAGGGGATCCATCTGAAGGGGCCTTAACTATTGACTCCCAGATAGTTTGTATTTACTTTAAAGTGAACCTGTAATTCATACTTCACATGGATCAATGCAGCCATGTCAGCATCACTAAAGTACAATATTTTAAATAGGTCTGTACCTCTTTGCCATTAGTGAATACCTGTTTTTCCCAGCTACCAACCTAGGTAGCCTAGGTCACATGGTCTCTGGCTACCAAGCATTATTACAGATTTAATATTAACACAACTAACATTAACACACTGCTAATAAAAAGACTGCTTATATGAAGCTATAACTGGTTATTGTCCGCTATATGCTGAAAACGATGCAGCCAGAAGGGATCCTGACATTACTGTTGAGATCCACACAGCTGGTTGATTCAAAGCTGGCTTTGCCTCTCCAGAGGCAGAGGCAGCTGTC